AACAGTAAATAACCTAGAGAAACAAAAATTTTTCAGGGTCCTCAATAATTTTTAGGAGTGTAGAGAGGTCATGAGACCAGAAAGTTTGAGGACATTTGCTCTAAAGTGATACTCTCCAATGTTGGCTAAAAGAGAAAAAAGTTTCTACTCTGACTTTGCTATGTTCCTTATGTTGTTACTGACTGCCCATCACAGTGATGTGAGGACTTAAATTCCTTTCAATCGCTTTTCTAGGTTATTTACCTGTAATCGCCATGGCCGGGTTTCCAAATAAAGATGAATGATATTTCTTACCTGTGCTCAATAGTTTCCTATGAAAGGAAGTGATCTGGAAGGTATGAAGTCCCTTTCTTTTCCTGAGGCTGCGTAAATAGTACAAGGTGGCAGCCCCTTCAGCAGCCGAAGCAGGCAGCCAGGAATGCAGAAAGCTTTGGAAAACGGAACTCCTCCCTGCTTGTCCGGATCCAACAGCCGTCCGGGGAGAAGTGAGGGGGCCAAGTGCTTGGGAGAAAGGAGGAAGAGGGCGGAGGGAGGAGACTCTTCTGGCACGCCTTGGAGCCGCCTTCAGACGTGGGCTCTTTCCTAAGGCCGTAGAACTTGAAATAAAGTGTCAGAGTATATGGGTATTTCTTTTCATGTAAAATCACTATTTTAATGATTTAATTTCTTCTGTAAAAGTTGGAGTTCTGGGCTTTCCAAACCTTGTACCTCTTTCAGAAGTACATCCAAGCACTTTAAAAAAAGCATCTGCTTGGTCAATTAGAAGCATCTTTTTCTCACATTAATCTCTATTTTGAGACTTTCTACTCACACTTCAGCACAAAACTTTTTTCTTCTCTAACAGTGCTGAATAATCAGCCCTATTAGAATAATCCCTATAATATAATCATAGTACCTAAAATGTAGCTTTTAAAAAGCAAAGTGTAAATATCAAAGACTTGAAAATAATTAGCAGAAACAGTTTCTTAGACAATTTTCTCTCTTTTTTTTAATAATTTTATTTATTTTTTTCCCCCCAAAGCCCCAGTACATAGTTGTATGTCACAGCTGCACATCCCTCTAGCTGCTGTATGTGGGACGTGGCCTCAGCACAGCTGGAGAAGCGGTGCGTCGGTGCGCGCCCAGGATCCAAACCCGGGCTGCCAGCGGCGGAGCACACGCAACCGCTAAGCCACAGGGCCGGCCGGACAATTTTCTCTTGAACACTTGCTAAATTGTATTATCTTGCTAGCAAGAGAATTAACAAGGTGACTTTTTGTTTTTGCTTTTTTGCCAGTATAGAGACTATATGGAAACAGAGGAGTTCTAGAGTAAGGAAACAAACTGCTTATATAAGCAGCTAGTTGGGTTTTTTGTTTTGTTTTTAACAAGATATGGTTTTCATTTGATAAGGCCATAAAAATATCATGTCCACAGTGGTGATTACAAAGGAAGTCTGTGGCAGGATGGCTAGAGCTGCTTGGCGTAGTGACTACCAGAAGAAAAAAAATAGCACATTTAAGCAAGTATATGATAAGAATACACGCATGATTGAAGTAGAAATAACAAGTTTTCATCCTCCACCTGTAGTGTCCAATTGGGCCAATTAACATGAAAACATGAACTGGAGTCAAACAGTGATCAAAGCAGAGCACTAAACAAGTTAATTTCAAAGGGCCCATTGCCAATTGTTTTACTCTAGCTGTAAAGTTGTAGAATGCATAATTTACCCATTTCTTAGTTTTGGGACAAACATTTTTTTCTTTGATATAGAGCAACCCAAATGTCTCCATGTCCTGCCTACTTCATAAGGTTTTTTGTGAAGATTAAATGAGATGGTGATAGCCCTTTGATTATTTTAAAGCACTAGATAAGTATAACCCTCCACACCCTCTCACTTATTCTTTCTTATTTAGCTTATACAATGAAGATTTTAAAAATAAAATAAAATGTCCATGGTTTCTCTTAATCTGATGTAAACATTTACTTATTAGGTGAAATCGTTTTTCCTGCAAGTATTTTAAGAACTAGATTACTTGTTTAGATATCATACAACGTGAAGACTGGGAGAGGAATTAGATCAGTATTTCCCTGACTTTTGGATTTAACAGACCACTAAGAATAATAACAAAAATAATGATAATAATGAAGAGAGAAACACTGAGTGGACTTTATATTTTACCAAGTAAAGACATTAAAAATCTAAAATTCTTTATATTTTTATCGCATGAAAGAACACTTTAACATCAAAAAATTAGGAAGGACGTAGTATCAGAATAAAGGGCAATCCTTTAAAGTAAATACATTGGCTTTATGAAAAATTCATTACTTTTTCCCTCATTTTACCACAGGTAAGGAAAATTTCAACACACATGGCCATCAGTCCTCAGACAATAATTGGGATCTTTCAAAGACTGTTAATAACTGCACCATCTTCCTCTAGTCTAGTTTTATTAAGTGACTTATATTTCACCACACTAGCAAATCAAGTTAAATAAACTGAGTACCTGTTTTCCAGGAACTTACATAAACAATCGGCTTCTTCACAAACAGCCAACAAATAAACATACACACAATACTTACAAGTCTTTATGACAACAAACTTTCAAAGAAACCAAAGGGAAAAAACATGTGTCAAATATAATTTGCTAAGCTGTAAGATTATGTACCTGGACTTTATGAAGGGTGTTATTGACCTTTGTTTTATTAGGTGATTTGCTTTTTTTCTTCTACATCAACTAACTAGGGATTAGTTTAGAACGTCTATCTTTGAATCGGCAGGTCAAAGTTGCCACATTAAAGCACGCGATGAGGCTAAGCTTTGAGTATGTGAGCTATGCATGTTACAAAATATTTCTTGAGAGCTGCTAAGTAAGTCGACTAAACTTCATGACACATCAGGTAAAGAATTTTCTAAAAGGGTGTGATTCTGAGAGTTTGCTTGCACCAAACAAAAGAGGTGAAGGAACGGAGGCTGTGAATCTACAAGTTTCACTTGCAGGCCAGAGGAACTCCGGTAGAAACCCTTCCTTCAAACAAACCATCTGGAATAGGAGGTAACTTTTACTGGAAAAGTGGCGGGCGTACTATTTTGTGTTCCTTCACTGAGATTCAAAGAAGCGGGGACACACCACGGCTTTGCTGTGGCAACACTTTCTCGTTCCTTCTTCAGAGACCAGTGCCAGATTTTTCCCTTCTGGCCCACACAGGCTGGAAGTCTGGGAGAGATTTTCTGTTTCACAGAGATTCCAACACGAGGGGAAGCGCGGGAGGTAAACGGCAGAGAGCCACCTTTGCGCCGCAGCGCGTGAGGGCTCCAAGCCACGGTCCCAGAGGCCTCGCGGCAGTCACGTGATTCGCGCGCTGACCGCTGGGAACGCCGCGCGCCTCCCGCTGCCGCCGGCGGAGTCTGCGCACTCGCGCGCGGCTGACATCTTCATTTCCGTGCTTTCGCAGAAGAGGAAGAGCGCGACGCTGCGTAGTAGACTGATCTTAGGGTGGGGCTGCAGGGATCAGTGCTCGTAAAATAAGGCAGTGAGAGGATAGAAACTCCCTCTCAGGGTCTCTGGTGGGGCCGAAGCACAAGTGGGGAGGAAAGAGAGCGGGGTGGAAGTGAGAAAAAATGTAGGTGAAATGGCCTGAGGGGCCGAGGTGGCCTTGAGAAGAAAGAGAAGACTAGAAGAAAAGGTTACATAAGGCAAAGGGGTACTTCTTGGTAATGACTAAGTCGCCAACGTCTTAGATTGCATAGCCGAGGACAGTGGCTGTGAATGGTGTTTGTCACAGGATGAGGCCCAGCGTCTTGGCCAGGCCTGGATTCAGCGGAGGCCCTAAGTTATGACAGGAATTGACTTTGTCTTTGCAGAAACAGAATTACCTAATTATAAAAGTTTTAGTTTGACATACGTGCACATTCTGTTATTTTGAGAGAGAAGAGAAGTGTAAAAGGAAAAAAGAAAAAGGGGAAGGGAGAAGAGAACAACTCTCATATTGGCTTCTCTGAAACAGTTTTGAACTTCCCAAGGCAAAGTGAGCACTACTGTGCATGTGTAGTATTTTCCACATATTTCTATTATAGCACTTGAACTTATGTACTAGAAAGTTACCGATGGGAATGTAGAAGCACTGTGCGGAATTTACTAAACAAACATCTTTATTATTTGTTGTTGCTGTCTTACATATATGAATATTATATATATATATGACCAGTCAGATTCATTACAGTTATCCAGGTCAGCAAAAACGACAAAGTAAATTGATAATTTGAGTCAAGAGGGCTCCTCACTAGTCTCTTAAGATGTAGAGACTATACCATTCTAGGTTTCAACATTTTTTCTTTAAGTTTAAACTTAATGTTTCAGACTCCTAGGGAGATTATCTTCAGAATTTTTAGGAAAGTAATTTAAAAGTAAAATTAGATGCTGTAGGAAGGTAAGATAGAACAGTGGAAACAATCTCAGACTAAAAGAGATCCTGGTTCTAGTCTGGCCCAATTTTACTTGTTTGATCTTGGTCAACTATCTCTGTCCGGTTTTCATGTCTGTAAAAAATGAGGTTGAATTAGATGAACTGTAAGATCTATTTTAACATTAAGAACTTGTGAAGGTAGCAGAATCTTGAATCCTGAAACAAGGCAGAAGTGCCAAAGAGACTAGTTTGGCTAACTGTATATAGTGGGAGTACATGAAAATCATGGGAATGGGAGATTGGCTCCAGGTGATGTAGGCCTTTGGATGCCATACCATGGAATTCGAACTTATTCTGGAGAAATGACTAGTCAAGGGAAGATTTTTGAGTTAAGAGAATGCAGTAATCAGAGTTTTGAAAGGTTAAGGGAATGTGGGAATTAGAGTTTTGAAAGATTGCCAAACAGCTGTTGGTAGGATGAAACAGAGAAGGGAGAAATTGAGTAGTTGAGAGGTACATGACAGTTAAGGAGAGCCTAAATTAATAGTGGCAGCAGAAGTGGAAGGAAAGGGAAGGATTCAAGAGAGCTCTAGCATGGAGTTTGTACCTAAATTTGGCATTGCTCTAAACTTTGCAGCTGTTGCCTCCAGAATATGATGGCAGGTCACCTTGAAAAACCTGATACTAGAAATTGCAAGAGAACAAGAGAGTTGGAGGTAATCTATATGTTCCTGGAGCCTTTTATTTTATTTTATATGCTTCTCAAATTTCTTCCATTTAAGAAAGTTCTATTTATAAATGGAATTTAATGTTTTCATATTCCCAGAGCTGGGATTGTCCCAGCAGGAACCATGTTGATTCCAGCTGCTTTTTCACCAAGTACAGGCGTCCAAGAAACTGTTGGGAGATTTCTTTGTGGTAATTTGTGATCTAGAGACAGAAGTGGGTTCATGCCTTTATGGTACATAGGACTTTAAATAATTATTTTGCTGTAATAAGTAGAATACCTAGGTGCTGCAGTTGCTGATATTTTTAAAGAGCACTGTATCCTGCCCTTCTTTACTACTACCCCCATCAATTGATCTCTTTGCATTTGGAACATTATTTGCTTAAAGATTATGTTATCTTGCAAAATTTTGCAAGCATTTGGCTATTGACTAAATGAAAGTTTTGCTGTATTGCTATGGAAACATCTACTGGTTCAAGATACAGGAAAATTCTTCATCAGAGGATTAATACCATATTCAAGGTCTAATGTAAAACCAAAATAAAATTTAGTATGTTGAACAAGGTGCTTGTTGGGCCTAAGAGTTTCCTTAATAATAAAATTTCAAGTGACTTATTTAGGACACAAGAGCATATAATTTGTAGCATGTTTGCTTTTTTTTCTGGAAGATGTTTTATTTGCTTTTTTTTTTTTTTGAGAGAATATATATATTCTAAGGATCTCGTTGACTACCTATTTTTTTACTTTCTTCTATAGCCTCAGATGCCAGATAGTCCACAACTGTCCTCTCTTGGAAAATCAGATTCCTCTTTCTCTGAAAGCTCTGGACTATTTTATAAAGATGAAGCCCTGGAGAAAGATTTGAATGGTGATGTTTAAAATGCTTATAATTCTATACATTGATTTTATAATACAGAAGATTTGTTACAGTTTGTAACTTAGTGATTTTTTTTAACAGATATGAGCAAGGAAATTAATCTAATGTTGTCTACATATGCAAAGATCTTAAGGCAAGTACTTATAGTATATTCTCTTGAGTCTTTATCTTAGAAATGCAGACATGCCCTCCTTAATGACAAGGATATGTTCTGAGAAATGTGTTGTTAGGTGATTTTGTTGTTGTGCAAACATCATAGAGTGTACTTACACACACCTAGATGGTATAGCCTGTTACACACCTAGGCTATATGGTACTAATCTTATGGGACCACCATTGTATATGTGGTCCATCATTGACTGAAACGTAGTTATGCAGCGCATGACTGTAGAAGTTTTCTTCTGGAAAATTCATAATGCGAAGTTTAGTTCAGTGGCTGCAAAACCTTTCCAGTAATTATAATTTTGGAATTTTTTACTCTACTTCAGTTTCTTGTAATAAGTTAGTTGGTTATTTTTAAAGAATAACCCCTAACTTTTCCACTAAACATCCTTTGTTTTGCTACTACCAGGGCTAATACTAGGCTGGATATATTTTGATCTCTAATAAGATGATATAACATTTAAAATTTTGTGAAAAAACCTCTTTGAGAAAAATACCATTTGGTGAAGTTAATGATAATAATAGAGTGATATTAAAGGTAAAATAAATATTTCTATTTATGAAATACTTAAATATTATCTATATATATTTGAAGGCTGAATTTAAATATTTTATTGGCCTGAGATTATGTTTTATAAGGTGTTTTTTAAAACTATTGGACAGTCATTATATTTGAATAATGGTTTGTGTGGCTATTAATATGTATAGTTTAATATTAGAATTATAATGAGGGCCGGCCCTGTGGCTTGGTGGTTAAGTGCGCGCGCTGTGATGCTGGCGGCCTGGGTTCGGATCCCGGGTGCGCATCGAGGCACCACTTCTCTGTCCAGCCTGAGGCCGAGTCCCACATACAGCAACTAGAAGGGTGTGCAGCTGTGACATACAACTATCTACTGGGGCTTTGGGGGCAAAAAATAAATAAAATCTTTAAAAAAAAAAAAAAAAAAAATTTTAAAAAAAAAAAAAAAAGAATTATAATGAATAAGATACACATTTTGCTGTGTCGGGAGGTTTTGGGTACTCAAAAACATTTGTGGGACTAATTTAACTTTTAGTGAGGAGTGTTTGTAAATTAATGAAGCTTTCTGATGTACAAAGCCATTTAAATGAAATAGCTAACAAATTTAACATAATAAAGAACATCCCTATGATAGTGTGTTTAGATGTTATAACTATTTAGTTTAATTAAAATTTTTTTTTCCCCATTAGTGAGAGAGCAGCAGTAGATGCATCTTATATTGACGAAATAGATGGACTCTTCAAAGAAGCCAATACTATTGAAAACTTTCTAATACAAAAAAGAGAGCTCCTGAGACAGAGGTTTACAGTGATTGCAAACACACTGCACAGATAAAATTGTGTACTTAAAATAAGTTGAGAATTTAATCCCATTATTTATTGTAATGAGAGAATGACATTCATGCTTTGAAAGCTCTCTGGTTGTTAAAGGAAAATGTGTACCTTAAACATAAGAAGGGGAAACTCCTTGAATTTCTTTTCTAGTTTAAAAGGAGCTTTAAGCTGGACATTAATATGAAGTACGTAGCTGTTCTTTTGAGGGTCAGATACTTGGCATATTTTATAAAAGTGTAAATTATTTAAATTATACATGAATTCTTTTCTTTCTTTTTTTTCTTTCTTTTTTAAGAAAACCTCCTAGGCTTTCTTAAACTTCTAAAAGGATTCAATGAGTTAATTTGATAATGTTTAATAATGTTGCACTTTTTCTTTTAGAATATTTTATTTAAATAGCAGATAGATAGCTTTGGGGATAATTTTAAAATGTTTTTCATGGTCAGTATTAGAAAAAAATTAAAACCCAAAAGTAATTTGTCTAATTTCTCAATATGTAATAAAATATAACATGTGCTATTGCTATTTAATATTACCATTTGATTATTTTCACTATTAGTTATTATCCATGGCTGATAGAAAAAAATTATTTTCTTGTGGTAAAATAAAAACCAGAAATTACTAACCAGAACCTTATATGAGTTGGCTTTTTTACACATCAACCGTATCAATGGTACGGTTAGTGAATTATGTTTAGAAGCCTTAGCAGCTGTGTGGTATGGGATAAAGATTAGTGGTCCAGAAGTAAAGAGATTGGGTAAACAACAAGGCGACCTTGGTAAATCATTTCAATCTTATTATAATTCAGAAATTGAATTTGGACTAGAGGATCTCTAATACTCATCAAACTAAAAAAAAATTCTCACTTTGATGGAAGGTATTGCTATGATTTTATTGAAAGCTTTCAATATGTTATATAATTATATAATAACTATATTAATAAGATTTCAAAAAATCACAGCACCCATTTTTCAGTCATATAGATAATTCAGTCTATTATACATATATTTTGCTGATGTAAACATCACCAATTTGGACATATTTACAAGCAGTACCACAGGGAATTTGGTATTCTTCAGGTGGACAACACGTTTGCCTTGCTGCCTTCTAAATGTTAAAATAAAATCTCATTTCATCACATTACTATTTTAAGGCATATTTACCACATAACATAAATAGACATACAAGAAAGTATTGAAAATAGTAAAATAAAATAATATTTACTAAAAATATTGGTTATTAAGTGGAAAAAATTATTAGGTTTGTAGAGGGATATGCTAATGGCATAGGATAAGTTGGAGGTCAATGAAGTAACTATTAGAAATGGGATTTTTAAATACTAAATGCAACAAGAAGACTATGTTTGAGTTAATATGACATGTCACCTGGATTTTGAGTTATTCTGTTAGGTTATAGAGTTCTTTTTTTTTTTTTTTGTGAGGAAGATCAGCCCTGGGCTAACATCCGTTTATAGGGTTCTTTAATGTAGTGAATACAAAGATGACTCAACTGGCCCATCATCATTAAGAAATGTTCTTGAGGTTTTTTTTTTCTAAATATTTATTATTAATGTGAAAATAAGGCTAACAGATTGTTTCAGAGTGGATTTCATAATATACTTGCTATGTCTTGATCATGTCACCATTGTTCAGCATCTGGTTCTTCCCTGTTACAGGTTAAGAGAATTGATTAGATCATTTCATCTGGTATAATTAAAACTAGGGAACTGATTTTTAGTCACAATGTGTTTACTGGTCAGAACAGCTATTTCCTAGAGTAAAAGTTCCTCAAAGCCCAATTCTTATTTTTATCAAAATTTGATGTCTTTGATACCATCCATATAAACAAGAATAATTATCTCATAACTGGAGATATGCTATTGTAGGAATACCATTGCCCTTTAGTTTACACATCTATTATCACTCATTTCAATAAAATTTCACAAGTTTATAAATTATTTTTCACTGATTACAAATCAAAATATATATTGAATATCTTTGTACATCATACTCTGCTAGGCACTGTGGGGTATACAGAATAGTTTAAGATACTCTTTGTTCTCCCTTCTGACAATTTTAACCACTCCTTTCTTGAAATACACTTCTATGTCTTTGCTAGGAAGACGTGACGTAAATGTTAGATGTATCTCTGACAGTGCTAGTAACTGCTTCTAGTGGGAGTTATTAGAAGGCCTTTGGCAAGGGGTCAGAGAAGTAGATTTTGAAATGGGTTTTTGAAAAGGAAAGAGGGAGGATATTTCAGGTGAGGAAAAGTTTGTTCAAAGGCACAGAAGAACAAAAACACATGGTATGTTAGAAAGTCATTTTACTGGGCTGAGAATTCACAAAGTGGAATAGTGTATCATTTAAACTACTGGAGAGCAGGGACTGAATCTTATTTCTTGATATTATCAATTTGTAGCACAGTATTTGATACATTTGTGCTCAAAAATGTTTCTTTTTTTTTTTTATTTTTTTTTTATTTTTTTTTTTAAAGATTTTATTTATTTATTTTTGCCCCCCAAAGCCCCAGTAGATAGTTGCATGTCATAGCTGCACATCCTTCTAGTTGCTGTATGTGGGACGCGGCCTCAGCATGGCCAGAGAAGCAGCGCGTCAGTGCGAGCCCGGGATCCGAACCCGGGTCGCCAGCAGTGGAGCGCGCTCACTTAACCACCAAGCCACGGGGCCGGCCCTCAAAAATGTTTCTTAAATTAATAAAATTATGTGTGGTTATGTTTTTTAATGGCATATTTTCACAGGAACTTATTCACACTAGATTGTCAGAAAATGTTTTGTAAATTAAATGTATAGAAAAGAAAAGGAAGAAGGAAGGTGCTAGAAAGGCAGAGAGTTAAAGGATGAAAGGTAGGTTGTGGCCACGTTGTAAAGTCCTTTGTTGACAGACTAAATTTGGACTTTATTTAGTAAGGAAAGAGGAGATCTGAATCTTTCAGAGGGGAGTGGCATAATGAAATTGATCCCATGGATCAACTGACTTAATTGTAGTGTGATGAAAGATTTGAAAGAGTAAAATTTAGGGAGGAAGACCACTATGATGGTCCCATTTTAATATTTCAAGCAGCTACTTATTATAGATAGATTGTTGGGATACTTGTCATGGAAAGGAGACTAAGAGAGATTGCAGCTGTTTTGAAGCCCTGGCTCTTCACCACCTCCCCACTTCCCCCCATTCCTCCTGTTCTGTCAGTGAGCCAGGGACAGCCCAGGAAGTGTTTCACCTCGCTGCCAGTGAGTGTGAGGATTTGGAAATCATGGGAGCTGCTGCTACTGAACTCAATACAAAACTGTTTTTTCAAATCTTTCTCCATTTTGTCAGCAATCTTTCTACCATTGTAGTGGGTTTCCTTTCTGTAATACTACACCGGATTCCAGGCAAGAGATTTACCCCTTAGTCCTCTTCCTACCAGCCAGAACTTAGAATTTTGTGCCTCTTTCCTGAAGAATACTGGGGGCTTCTGAAGTTTTCCACTCTATGTGGAGCAGATGCAGGCAGCAACACTACAGAGCTGGGAATTAAAGAAGACTGAGTTAGGATTTGTTTACTTGTCATCAGGGAAACAGCCGTTCCATTTGTGTATTTTACTCAACATATAGGGGCAGGACTCAAGGTTTAGGGATTCTTTTCTATCTGCAATAAGAAGAATATTCACTATTTCGATCTTTCTCAAGTGAAAATCAGTGCTACACATTCTAATGTAAATGTTTGGTTCTTCTATTTGCATTTTAGGGGACAGCCTTAAAACCCCTGTTTTTTGTTCTGTAGCTTTCTATTATAGCTACTATTGTTATATGATTTTATTTCTTGAAATTGGCTGATATAGAGCTATCAGAAATCATACTGATATACACTATAAACTTTAAAATTTTTTAATTCATTAATTTAGTACTTGCTGTGTGAAAGGCAGTGTTAGGTACTGGGGTGGGAGCAGAAACAAGACCCTGTGCTCAAGGAATATTGGCAGTAGAGGTTATAAAGTATATTAATCTTTATTGCTCAAGACAGAATAAGATAAGTGCCATAAGAGAGCTAAAACAGAAGCTGTGTGAGTTCAGACTAAGGAGAATCAGTTCTTGCTATAGGAAATGGGAATGTTGTGTTTATGAAGCAGGTGACGTGGCACTGGATCTTGAAGGATGAGTAGAGTAAGTGAATTTCCCCTGAAGGAGATCGGAAATATCCTAGGTGAAGAGAAGGGTACAATTATGATGATGTAGCTGGAAAAACCCGGGACCCTGTCACTGTAGCTGAATCAATGAACACAATGACCAGGGATTGAGGAAAAGAAAAATGGTTTAATTTTGCCAGCAAAATGAGGCTGTGGTGGAGTCCAAAACTCACAGTCCTCCCGAGCCATTAGGAGTTGGAGTTTTTAAAGGAAAATCTATGGGAAAGAATGTACTGTCTAATCATTTGTTGGGGAAGTATTGCAGGGGGTCCCAGACCCCTGGTGCTGGGCCAGATGTTATCTCTATCTACAGCAGGAGGTTTAGGGCCCCATTGATCAATCCTCCCATGCCACCCGAAATTGGGCCCTGGTGAGAGGAAGGAAACTGCCACCAATTAACAGTTACAAAGTTTACAAGGTTTTGTAAACCTTGTAAGGTTTACAAAGTTTACAAGGTTTTGTAAACCTTGTAAGGTTTACAAAGGAGGGGGAGCTGTGGCTTTGCAGTTCAGTGTCCTCCCATCAGCCTGCATTTGGCTGAGATAAGGGAAGCTGCAGGTGTCCTCTGTTTGTCTGTCTCCATGATGAATGGTAGGTTTGGTGCCAGGAACCAGGAGTTGGGGAGCTTCAGCTTCTTGATAATTTCTAGATATCAGTTTCCCTGTAGCAAACCTCAAGAACTGGTGATTAGCCATAACTTCAGTGAGAAGCCACCTGGGCTTCTAACAATTTACTTCCATTTGCCTTGTGGAATTCAAGGGTACAAAGGTTAAAACAACAAATACGTACATGTGAATGTACCTTAGAAAAGCAGCAAAAGGGAGAATGAGTGCTTTTTGGTTTTTAAATCCATATATGTTTGGTTCAACATAGGGGAACTGGTATGAGGGCCAGCGTCAATTCTACCTCTATTTTATGTTCATTCCTTAATCTTGAGGGATTGGGGCGATGATTGACGCATAGGTCCAGGTTAGAGGAATGAGACTGTTTAGCATTCATTTGGAAATATTTTTTTGTTTCCAGCTTCAGGTTGACATTTT